ATTCCCTTGCGTACGGATGACAGCTACGTATGACTTAATTTATTTTTGGGGGCTTTCACTTCCAGAGACAGTTTAAACCACTGTGAAACTGCCTCGAGGAGGCTTGACCATTTTAACACAAAGGGGGGCGATCTTCCCCCGTTGGGGGGAGGGGGGTTTTTCCCCCCCCCCCAACATGATTTACTGAACCCCCATTAGGGTTACCCCCAAAAAAAAAAAAAGGAGGAAAAAAAAAAAACGGAACCCGGGTTGCGGAGTCCAAAAAGGGAATGGGCTTGTTTAAAAACGTGGTTGCCAAGGGAGGAAAACCCAATCCGGAGGGCAAACACCGAGGGGGGGGCTTTTTTTAAAAGGTGGTGGCCAAGCGAGGAAAACCCAAACCCCGAGGGCAAACACCGGGGGGGGGGGGTGTACTCATAGTCGTGCATGCCGTAGTCGTTTGACCATTGACCTCGCATCCCTACAAAGCCGGGACGGAGCACGCCGGGTTCTCACCGGACCAGGCTCTCACATCACCAAGCGCGAAGCGCCGTGAGGTATTTGGCGAGTCGCATGAAGGGTGAGCTGCATCCTGCTAAGGGTGTTCGGCATCTTGTGCTTACTTCCTTGCGTACGGATGACAGCTGCGTATGACTTAATTTATTTTCTGGTGCTTTCACTTCCAGAGACAGTTGTAAGCACTGTGTAACTGCCTCGAGGAAGCTTGACCATTTTAACACAACGTGGTGCGATCATCCCCCGTTGCGCGGAGTGAGGTTTCTCGACCCCGCACAACATGATCTACTCGACCACCATTATGGTTACCGCCAAAAAAAAACCGAGGTAAAAAAAAAACGGTAACCTGGTTGCCGAGTTCACGAAGTGAATTGGCTTGTTTTACAACGTCGTTGCCAAGCGACGAAAACCCAATCCCGATGGCAAACACCGAGGGGGGGGCTTGTTTTACAACGTCGTTGCCAAGCGACGAAAACCCAAACCCCGATGGCAAACACCGGGGGGGGCGGCTTGTTTTACAACGTCGTTGCCAAGCGACGAAAACCCAACCCCGATGGCAAACACCGGGGGGGGGGGAGAAATCAGCCTTTCCCTTTTTGTCAACTGCCTGCACGCATCAATCACTTTCGGCTTTTTCCCACATCATCAGACCGGACCAGAGCAAAGCATTCAACCACACCTTGCTCGCAGGGCATCGATGCGAGACCAAGACATTCCAACCCGCCTCATCATGGCCGACATCCTGTCCGGAACTATCTCTCGCTGTCTGGGGGTGATGCCCTGTGGGTACAGTATCACGGCCTGTCGTGGTTTGAATCGTTATCCATTGCACAGCAGGAATTGTTCGGGCCTTTTATCGCATCGATCTGTGTTCGACTTCGAATTTTCGATTCATCCCCCCACCCGCATGCACGGCGTGGAGCGAACCCGACACAAAAACAAAACACAGCTGAAAATATTTTCCTTCGTCGAGACAGGGGCAGGGGCGATGCTGGCGTAACCGTAAGGATCGGACAGCTGGTACCGCCGTGCCATACTCGAATGATGGACGAAGACACCGTTCCTGATAACAAGGACAGAGGGTGGGCGGGAGACCTACCTCGACGGCGGCCTTTGAGGGGGGGGGGGGGAGCGTGCTCCTATGTTTTTCGTGCCGTAGCGAATAGACCATTGATCACGCGTCCTCCAGAGAGGACGGAGTATTGTTCCCACAGGACCGATTGCCGATGGCCAATCGTGGGGGCGAGACTCCAAAGCCAGGAGAAAAGAGAAGACTCACAAAACAAGATAACGATTTTCTTGTATATAATACTTACTACCTGATAGGTAACTTCGTGCTTTTCTTCATGCACCCTCGCTGCTGTTGTTTCTTTTTTTGTCGCACCCGCCCACCGGGCCAACTCTCTCTTCCGACCACCGCGCCAATGTTTGACCTTCACTCTCCGATCCGATCTCAGATCACCGTATGTACAAGTACGCGGATATTGCGCAGAAAACGAAAAAAAAGGACACTTCACCATTAATTGATTTTGTATTAGACCCGCTCCGTGCTGAACACGCCTCGACGGTGACAATAAGAGGCAGTTAACAGTGGCCGTTGGTTGAGCACAGACCCGCATCGTCGCAAGACACAACCGACAGCAGTACTGCGTTCAACCAACAGCACAAACAGGGGTACGTCGGCGAATTATTAGTGGAATCGCGGCGAAAAATGTCCGTCAATTCTTGGCGGGAATAAATAAACAACTTGAACTTTGTTCCACCCGAAAATAGAACTGGTGATGATGTGTGTCACACGTTCCGCACATGATTAAGCACGGCTGTGGTGGTGTCGTCAGAGGGCGGGCGGAGGCTGCACCACTTGTGATTGTGGCGGTGGTGTTCCTGTGGGAGGACACCAGGAGTGGACTGCAGCGTGTGTGTGCGTCGATTGCAATAACATAGATAGCTCTTTGCAACTCTGTCTCTCCGCCGGTGGACTTGATTGAGCGCCGACGATGACAATGAATGCTGCAATGCTTGCTCGAGCGGGATGTTTCGTTGTTTGGTTTTCGACCTGTGGCTTTCGGGCGAACAATGGTGTCCTCCTCCTCCTCGGTGCCGTCCCCTCGGGAAAGAGAGAGGTATAACAGCAGTAATATAAGTACCATTTTATCTTTCTTGTTGTAGCGTATTTGCCGGTTGCTGCTCAAGGCTCTCGCAGGGGGGCAGTCGAGAGAAGGGCACACGCGACCCACACGCCCTGAACAAAGTGAGGTGTTGCCGGAGCCCCAGGGAGGCACCAGCGGCATATATAGAACAAGTGTCAACTGTCAACGCGGACGGTTCCAAGGAACGAACCCAATATACGTTCTTGGTCCTGCCGGTCCCGAGTGGATTTTGCCTCTATGCACGTAAGTGTCAACTCAAGCCCCAGTGTCCGAAAACTGATTGTTGTGTCATGGGCCATGGGTCGAAAAAGAGCAGCAAAGAGCGCCGCGACGAATGGGGACACAACACACCAGCACCACAAGCCATACAGCTATTATACATACCGGGGGACACGCATGGACCCTTCCCCAAGTCGTCACTTGCATGTAAAATAGAGTGCAACAACCAAAAACGTCTTGTCTAAATAGGGCGTCAAGCGTCCTTGATTGCTGCAGCCCCCGGTGAACCAACAACTGCTGTGCATTGTTGGCAACTCATGTGCAGTGCTGCACCGCAAGCCTGCTGTGCGGCTGTGTCATCACGGACCTATGCATACCGACCGCTGCTGTTGTAATCGCATCGTACGCCTGCCTACCTCGCGGGCGGGGCGACAAGCAGTCAACTGCTGCCGCGCGAACGAGCGAACGAGAGAGAGAGGTAACGCCGCGTGCTGGCGGAAGGGATGGGCCGCACCGCGGACGAGAGCAGCGAAAGCTCACGCGGCTCTAGTGCACAGCGGACTGCGTACAGCAGCAGTAGTACATCGTAGTTCTCGGTCAAGCCTCGCACTCTCAACTACATCACCATCATTGGAAGGAATTTGGTTCGATATCTACAAACTACAGAGGTCGCAGCAGAGGACACAGCGCTCTTTGCTGCTTTGATCTGCGGTTCGGTGTCTGCCGCGCACTCTCTCCTCTGAACACTGCGCGTGGTAAAGGAAAGCACGCTGTTTCCTGCACGTAGGCTGCTGTCATACCTGAGAGCGCGGTGGCGGCTGTAGAGATGAGGGATTGGTGTGTGGGGAAAGTTGCGACCGACCGGGTGATGTCGCGATGTCGCGGGGGTCCACTGTGTGTGTGTGTTTATTATTAGCATAGACCGCGCTAGCCGGCTGACCAATGAAAAGACGTCAGTCTTAGTGCGGTTGAAAACACTGTGTGTGTGCTTTTTTTTTAATTTGGCGGGACACGTGTTTCGAACTATTGTAACACTGCTGTTAGATTTTTTGGCGGGACAAAACGCGGGTAATTGTTTTTTTGAAATTCGTTCCGCGAATTCCTCCAGTTCGAATCTCCGAGGGAATGTTGTGAGTTGTAAGTTGTTGCGTTGCGCGGGTGCCTCAGCAGGCGCCCGCATGCGCTCGCGCCAGATCCATTGCACGATGCCGGGTACCCCGCGCTATTCACAGAAGGAAACACAGCTCGAGTCTGGAATATTCCCGCTGTGTCCTGCTGCAGGGTATGGCAAGCAATGTACAGCTTTACACTCCGCGAAAGAAAGTCGCGGGTTCGATTTCTTCGTCGGGCTTGGTCGTGACTTTGGTAGTAATGATTCACTACTACAAGTAAGTGGCCTATTTATTGTCCGATGTACAGATAGATGGTACCATGCAGATAGATGCAGGTTGCTCTGCCTTCCTTTGTTCTCTCCTCTCTTGGTTACTGCTTTCCCGTTGTCTTCCAACGCAACCCAACCAAAAGCCAACGCACACCGGCGATAGATCCCTTCAAGCAGTAATGCGCACGACGATCGAACCCGATCGCACGCACTCACGCACGCACACAAACCTTTATTTGCAAATTGTGGCCCCCTCGATTTACCCGCCGACACTAAGTATTAGTATTTTCATTGGTCGGCCGTTGAACACACACACACTGATGTAAAGGGCACACACACACACATGCCTCGGCATAAAGCCCGAATCTTGCATGGCGTCACGTCATGTTGCATCTATCTTATTATCTGTGTTAACGCACTTGTAAACAATGGCCAAGCACGACCACTCATCACATGGTCTACCTCCAAATGCGATAATAATATCATCGATCCTATCAAATCCTGTATGTAATGGTAGTCGATGTACGAAATACCACTTGATTTTCCCTTCTTCGTTTGTCCCGCCGTTTTTTTATCCCGAGAAATATGCAGACAGACCAAAAAGCACGACCATCTCAAAAAGAGATGTGACTTTGAATCAAACGGTGACACAACATGGATTGATTGTACTTGTAGGCCCTGTCGAAATGGGTATAATAATATAATAAGTAGTACAGAACCCCAGTGCGAAAACACTTCAAGGCTACTACAACAATCAGACAGACTGGCTCATTCGCTCTCGTCGTTGCTTCAACGACAACAAAACCCGTTTTGTTTTTCATGCTTAAGATTTTGATTTCCGTGAGCGTCATGGTACAGAGTCGTGGCACCACGTGGAGCGTTCCGGAGCGTTTCTCGCCATACCCTAATCACGTAGTACACACGTGCATCTGTATGTATGTAGTCTAGACTAATAGTGTCGGTGGACAGACTTCACCACCACCGCGACCATCCGTGGTACTACAGAACTCTGAACGTCAAGGATCATCATCAGGAGGAGGAGGACTGGAGTACTAAATATCTTATCTTCTTGCCCTTCTTCGTATTTTCCTTTGTGGTGCTTTGTTAATCTAATCTTGTTTTCTGGACACTGGCACACATACATATACCAACCAGCGTTACTACCGCCCCCACCGGTCTGTCTGCTATTACGGGCGTATCCTCCTGTGTTCATTATGTGCATGACATGTGCACCACCGACGACTTGATAGTCTCATCGTCCAGCAGGTGGAAACAAAACCGACACGGAATCTTGCGACCACATGAAAATAAACGTAGTCGGGATCGTCATCAAGAGAAACTAGTGAGAGGTTCGAATTGTATGTATGTATGCATAATAATCTACACAACAAAGAAAGGGCCACAAGCAAGCAAGGCCACCAAGAAAGAAAAAAAAAAAAAAAGGGCAGCAGCAGTCGTCGGACAAACGAACGAAAATGTTTGTCGCTTGCAATAGTCAATAATAACTCTCAGGTCGTGTCTTCGTCGTTGTCATCGTCGAAAACTGCTCTTCTTGCTACGTACACCATGGGCGGGTACTCTCTCAGACGACGGCTAAAGCTTTCTATAGTGCCAGAGAGGTCATAAATAAGTATAATGAGTACCTCGAAAAACACAGCAGCACCGCGCAGCAGAGCAGGAGCAGCACGAGGAGGAGCGGCGGTGGCGGCATCGCCCATCGCTCCGTCACGAGGCCGCCATCTAAAGCCAACCAATATTATTACCCTAGCTCAGGTCTCGCACGAACGAAGGCTAATCAAACCATTGAGCACGTCCGCTCTCCTTCCAACTGCCCCTGCGTTTTGGTTCTCGCTGCCGGAGAAAAGATGAAAAAACAATCAATCACAACAACACCACGTGCACAAGATGCATTTACTCCAGGTGGGAAGATGGAGGCGATGACCAAGCTTTCTTACCATGTGGCACGCATCCACACTGCGCTCCATAGCTTCACGCCGCCGCCCACAAATCAAGCAAGGCGAATTCAGTTCACAGTTTTAGGACAAAAAGTGGCTCTTCTCCCCCTGCCAGAATACGAAAAAAAGCAACTGCCGCCAAAGTCACACGCCAGGCGCTCGATGAACATTATTTTTTGCGCGACTGCAGTGTGCAGCAGCAGAGCAGCAGAACAAACACCGACAGGCCGACAGACCAGCGCCACGCCTTTCTTTTCTGCTGGATCGTTTCTGCTGGATCGATCCCCCTTCGTTCTATGGAATGGGCGCAACCAACCGCCGCATGTTATATCAACGAAAACAATTATTTCAGGCACGATTGGTTGTATTTATTCTACGTACTACCAGTTATCGTGAGCAAGCAAGCCGAAAAAAAAAGCAAAAAACAAACAACAGGATTTTGTTGGTATCATGCTGCTGATGAGTGTATCCCGCCATATCAGGCACCACCACCGCCATCACCACCACCACCACACGAGAGGGGCACATGATCTCGTCGGGTACGAACCAACTCCCCAAAAACCCAGGAGGGACAGACAAGACAAAATCTTCAGACCCGGCCCGCCATAACGCAACCCTCCCCTCCCCTCCCCCCGCCCCCCTGGCTTTCTTGGAAACGCCAGTACCACATGAAAAGTACAGGACAAGAAACAACAACAATTCAAGGAGCGACGTGACTGAAAAAAACACACGCACCACAACCATTGCCGATCGCCGATCGCCTTGCTTACTTCTCCATGCTTTTTATCATCCCGGCAGAACGCGTGGTGTGGCATCTATCTCACACAGGGCCCTCGCCCACCCACCCACCGGCCGTCTTTTGCGTTCTGTCCAGAAGAGCTACAACAAAGTCCGGACAAACACGCGCGACGCTTCCGGTGCACCCAATCCTGCTGCATGCAGTGCATGCGTCTCCCGTGTTATACGAAAGTATTTACTTATTATCGTGGCAAGAACCACGCCGTCCTGAAAATACCGAAAACCCTCCTTTTCCCTGTAGGCCCCAAAACAAAGCCCCCCCCCTACACACACACAAAAGAACTTCAGAACGCGCTCGAAGAACCGCGTACAACGAATTAACGCCCCTGCTGCTTGCTGCGCATCATCTGTACTTGGCCCGCGGACAAAAGGGAGAGGGGAAAAGAACACCCTTCGAAACTTCGCAAGCGCACGCAAAAAAAACCGACCTACTACGCTGTTGATCGTCGCCAGGAAGTGGAAAGTTTTCTCGCGCTGCGATGGTGGTGGAGAAATACACCAGACCACAGCAACCGACAAAAACCACCACCACCAGCTCACGTAGGACACACGCATGCACACGCCTGAGTCAACGGAAAAGATGAGAGCTGCAGGAAAACCCGCCCCCCCCCTCCCCCTGCATGTGTAGAGAGTTGGACGATGTTTGCGAGAGTCCTCCACCCCCATCCCCCCCAAACTCTTTACAGTACAGAAACGCCTCCTCTCTGCGCCCCGACAAAATCAGGCCGGGGGGAAAGAAGCGAGAGCCGTCACGATGACGTGGCGCCGCATATTCTACGCCATGCAAGAACGCCAATATCGGGGGGAGTGTTTCCACGACTCCGTCTCTCTCTTCATGCCTAAAAGTCCAAGGTTTCGCTGGCGACACTGCTGCCGCTGTTACTGGATTCGCACGTGCCGTACAAGGGGCTGGCTCCTGCGTGGATCATCATCACCATCATCATCCTGCTACTAAACGTTGTGCGAGTAAAGTTATTGGACACGCAAACAACAAAAAGTGTCCGCAGTCTGCTACGCAGGGGCACACGCCGAACGCCCCCCCCCCTCCCGCCGAGAAAGCCACGAGAGAAAAAGCAAGAAAATTTGGTAGAATTTAGGTTACGATTGAAATTCGTTCCTTGTTCCGAAACAAGATGTACAACTCCCCGTGTCGTGCTGCTTGGCATCAACACAAACGAAGAGAAAACAAACAAGACGAGGTTGGGAACACAACCAGCAAACAAACGGTCTTTCAACTCCAACCGTTAGCATATTATTGCGCCACGGCGCCCGCCGAGACCACGAGCACCCCACTGGTCATCGATTCATTCTTCAACCTCAGCCGCCCACATTCTCTCTGCCGCTCTGGTACTCCGTCCTTGCTGTGATCCTTGCTTGCTGCCTGTGTGAAGTGTTCAGGTTCTTCCTCGCACCCACGCCTGTGCACAGCCCGTTTCGCTCAGCCCCCCGCCCCCCCCCCCAACCCCCCAAGTTGCTCGCTTGCAACCCACACAGCCGACTACAACGACTCACGATCCATCACCAGCAGCAGCAAGCAGCAACACACAACGAAATGCCTCGAGACATTCACACACACACACACACACACACACAAGCAAGCCAGTTCCGAACTCCCGTCAAAAGGAATCCAATAATTATTCCGAAAAACGGCCCAAAACTCGAACCGCAACAACTACCAAGGGAGAAAACGGACAGGGAAACACGGAAGGGACTGACGAAAAAGTGCCATCCATCCACAGCAGAGCACCAACTCTTCATCCATCAACACAGCGGACTCGCCAACCCGATTCTAAGTAGAGAACTGCCCGGCACGGGCAATGTTGACTCGACCCCCCCCCCACCCCCCGACCGCATTCACAAACATCCATGCACTCTCGGAGCGGATACGGGGGAAGCGAGAGGGAACAATCGGGTCATCAAAAGCCGGCGCGTTGCAACGAAAGACAGATCTATCTCCACGCGAGTATGATGGTGGCAACGGGGAAAATATAAAAAAAAACTTACTATCTGCTCAAGAGAAAGAGATCGTGGAAATGTAGCCGTGGGGTTGTTGGCAACTCGTGTTGCCTTTGCACTTGAGGACACCAGCAACAAACGCCTTCTATTTACTATCAAAGGACCAATTTTCTTCACTGTCCACAAGCACAAACAGGTGGAGCGAGACAACACTAACAACAGCAACAGCAACAAAGACGACGACAACAACAGCAACAACATCAACAACAACAAAAACATTGTGCGGTCACAAAGACCAGGGCAAAAAAAATCAAAATGGTCGTGACACATCGCGTTTACACCAGTAAAGGGTGCCTAGGACGAAAAAAAAAAAAAAAAAGCTCCTCCAAACGAGGCGCGCACACTGATAACGACCCCCTCCTGCTCATGGCAATTAATTGCGAGTCTGCTCATCCTGGTCCTCCAATCTCCGAACGAGGAAAAGCACACACAAGTGAGGGCCTTGGAATCAGCCAAACCCGTCCGTAGAACGGTGGTGGAAACTCGTGTGGTGGTCACGGCGGTAGAACTGCATCAATACTACTGGTACGAATATATATGTGCCATGACAGAGTCATGTCGGGCATTTACTTGTTGACGGCGCCGTCGTCCATTTCCATCCCCCCACCCCTCCTCCCCAATACAGTACGTATACACGGTACAACGACGCTGCTGTTGCCGCCGCAACAAAAAAAATAACGATACCTGCTCTGACTAACGTCTAGCAACTCCCTCCCTCCGTGATTCAGTTTTCATTTTAAGCCAAGGGCACCAGCTGCAGTGATTTCCCCCGCGTCCACAAGCTACATCCCAGAAGGACTTTTCCCACAAAACCAACGAGAAGACTCAAAGGAGTCAAAACAGCCTCGCCCATCCCACCATCTCGACTACCCCCAGCACACAAAGTAGTAGACGACAAGGGCAGAGGCCAGTCCAATGAGACCAAGCACATTGGCAGGCAAGCAGGCAGGCCACAACACCCCCCAAAAAAAAAACAAGAGGTTACGAAGAGTGCCGTCATGGTATGCAACGAGGGCAGGGAGGAACCAGTAGAACATAGATGGAAGTGGGGGATCGAGGAGAATGCAGTAGTGGACCAGTACAC